CGGCGGCCAAGAAGCCCGCCAGCGCTGCCAAGAAGCCCGCCAGCTCTGCCAAGAAGCCCAAGAAGGCGGCGGCGGTGAAGAAGAGCCCCAAGAAAGCGAAGAAGCCGGCGGCCACCGCGGCCAAGAAAGCGGCCAAGAGCCCCAAGAAAGCAGCCAAGGCAGGACGCCCCAAGAAGGCAGCAAAGAGCCCGGCCAAGGCGAAAGCGGTGAAGCCGAAAGCAGCCAAGCCGAAGGCGGCCAAGCCCAAAGCGGCCAAGGCGAAGAAGGCAGCACCCAAGAAGAAGTAAATTATACCCGAGGAGTCCTGCTCTACATATTTTGTTATCCAACGGCTCTTTTAAGAGCCACCCACACTTTCCCTAAAGGAGCTGAGGCGCCGAGATCGTCAGTAATCTGCAGCAAGGATCCAGTAATTCGTAAGTCGTCAGAGGTCAATTGTGTCTTTTTTTTTTTTCCCCCTACGATTACCGAAAGAAACGCTAAGGAGCACGGTATAACGCGGCGGCTCCAGGGAAGTGTAGACTTTCACATCTTTTTGCCGAATAATTGGTTTGACTACCAGGAAGCGATGTTTTATAGTAATGATTTGATAAAAATCGGATGTACGTTTTTTGTAAGAATATATTTTGTAACAAAAGTAATGCAATTGTCAGGCACGCTACTACTGAGCCATGTCTAATCTATTGTATTATTTTCTTAAGGTGTCTCCTTAAATGGCTTTGTCTATCTCGGGGAGGAGGGGGAGGGTTTCTTTACTGACCGGAAAATAGCCTTGGGCCTCTCCCATTCCTTTTGTTTCCGATGAGAAAGAAAAGGAGCTTTAAGTATTGAAAAAGCCCGCGCTGACCAAGGATTGGCCAGCGGAGAGCCCGGCCCGCTGCCCCTTCCCCCCCCTGCGCCTCGTAGCTCTGGTGCTGCTTCAGCAACTCTCGGAGAAGAAAAACGCGGAAGGGGGGGGGGGGGGCGGGGGAGGGACGGGAGCTCTCGCCGAAATCCACTGTTCCCGTATTCTCTCGCTTAAGAACCAAACAGAAAATATCCCATCCCAGGAAGAACTTGCTTTAGGAGGACACTTTAGCACGACTCTGTGTTACTAAAAACATGGAAAGCGTTGCTACTGTCGGCAAGCCGAAAATACTGTCAATAAACATGGAGAAAATAAGACAACACACGGGTTGAGTAATTCATATAAAACGGCATAACTATAGTACGGATAACTGAGCTCTCTTATGATTTTGTGGGTGGCTCTGAAAAGAGCCTTTGGGTTATCTTCTCCGGAAGAGGCAACGTGCCGCTTTACCGTTGTGCTCACTTGGCTTTAGCCTTGTGGCTGTCGGTCTTCTTGGGCAGCAGCACGGCCTGGATGTTGGGCAGCACCCCGCCCTGCGCGATCGTCACCTTGCCCAGCAGCTTGTTGAGCTCCTCGTCGTTGCGGAGGGCCAGCTGCAGGTGGCGGGGGATGATGCGCGTCTTCTTGTTGTCGCGGGCCGCGTTGCCCGCCAGCTCCAGGATCTCGGCCGTCAGGTACTCCAGCACGGCCGCCAGGTACACCGGGGCGCCGGCGCCCACCCGCTCCGCGTAGTTGCCCTTGCGCAGCAGCCGTGGCACGCGGCCCACGGGGAACTGCAGCCCGGCCCGCGACGAGCGCGACTTGGCCTTGGCCCGCGCCTTCCCGCCCTGCTTCCCGCGGCCCGACATCCTCGATCAATCGCTCGCTTCCAAGAGCAACCAGCAGCAAAACGCAGCAACCTGGCGGCGCTCCTCGGCTATAGCCTGCCTTCCCCACCTCGCCCCTTCCCTGATAGGCTGAGAAGTAGGTCTCCTGTGGACAGCCAATGGGAACGCGAATCGAATTCCGGCCAATAATAAACGGCTATAGGGCAGTTATGACGCATTGTTGTGTTCTGGCCAATGAAAGTACGCAGAGGGAATGCTGCTCATTTGCATACGGGAGCTATAAATATGTGGCACGCAGCTGCTGCTCCCCAGTGCGCCATCCCGCTGCTGGCCGTATTTTTGGCTGGGGTCTGTGCGAGACGCGCTTTTGCTGCCATGCCCGAGCCGGCCAAGTCCGCCCCCGCGCCCAAGAAGGGCTCCAAGAAGGCGGTGACCAAGACGCAGAAGAAGGGCGACAAGAAGCGCAAGAAGAGCCGCAAGGAGAGCTACTCGATCTACGTGTACAAGGTGCTGAAGCAGGTGCACCCCGACACGGGCATCTCGTCCAAGGCCATGGGCATCATGAACTCCTTCGTCAACGACATCTTCGAGCGCATCGCCGGCGAGGCCTCGCGCCTGGCGCACTACAACAAGCGCTCCACCATCACCTCGCGGGAGATCCAGACGGCCGTGCGGCTCCTGCTGCCCGGCGAGCTGGCCAAGCACGCCGTCTCCGAGGGCACCAAGGCCGTCACCAAGTACACCAGCTCCAAGTAGAGCCGCCTCTGCGCCTTGTGCCAGACCTCTTCGACCCAAAGGCTCTTTTAAGAGCCACCCATCTTTTCAATAAAGGGGCTGTACAGTCAAATATGGAAAAAACTAATTCATTAGTGTGAATTCTTAATTTGTGTAGTTTTTTTTTCTAAGTCCCACTTGAGATTACTTTCTATAAAACATGCTCCAGTTTTCTGTCTCAGTGAACATACACTTTATCTTAGCAACAAATGGCTTGCTGTAAATATAGGGGTTTTTTGTTGTATTTTGTTTCTAGTGATAATGTTTTCTTATAGTTCTGTTACACTTTTAAGATTGTTGTACATATATATTTTTATGCAATACTATTCTAAGTGTTCATGTTATGTGTTGTAAACTGAAGGCAAAAAGTGGCTTCTGTAGTTTTCTAGTCGGGAGAGAATCAAAATTATTACTAATGGAAGTTTTATCTACGTACATTGTTGTAACTGCTGTAACAACATTTACCACTTGATGGTGCTCAGTCTTTTTTTTTTTTGTAGCAAAGTGAGAGGCCTACAGTGCACTGTACTGCAAAAGAATTTACATAGTAACAATAGATATTTATCTTAATAAGCTGTTACTAATAGTCTAGTGATTAATGTAACACAGGAGTCCTTTCTAAAATTATTTATCTTCAGCAATTTCCTTAATAATTCTACTATGCATGTGATTTTTACAGTGATTTGCACAGCTTCTCCATAGGACTGCTTTAGGGAGAGAATATTCCCCTTGTAACTAAAAACACAAAGTGAAGATGAATGTTATTTCAGACCTACCCGACCTTTCCTCTATTCATATGTCATTAATTATATTAAAACTGCTAAAAACTAAGGTACCAGCCACGGTGGGACGATTACTTAAACTATCAGAGTTTATCATATAGCTACTAATTAGCCCTAAAGTCTCAGCTTCAAATTGCAGGCTGAATCACTCCATCACATTCTTGGGTAATTAGACACTGCTCTAGATGCAGATCCAAGCCATTATCACTTTCTCTCAAACTGGATCTGAATAAACCTGAATTCCAAGCATATTCTGTGGATCTGTGAGCATACTTAGTCCATTCAGGGACCACAGAATCACAAAAGTCAACCTTTCTAGTACTGACTGCGTGTTGTTTGGTAGTACAGGTACAGAGGGCGGGTACTAGGTCTCTCTTACATCAGCCACCAATTTATCAAAGTTAATTTCAGCTTGAAGGTTAATGGGCATCTCTCAGATTGGATTTCAGATATCCAGTGGTAAGAGGCATCCTCTGTACTCAGTTCTCCAGCAGTTTCAAATGGAGTTTAGAGATCTTTCCAAGTGCCCCCTTAGTGCAAACTCTGAAACATAGTTTGCATATTCTGGGCCTCTCTATATGTCCAGTACCTAAAAAGATATACACAGTATATTCCAGTCTCTAGTTTTTTGTGTAAGGGGATGTGCAGGTTGCTAGACAGGGACTACAGAAAATATCATATACTAAAAGTGCTCAGATTTTGATAGTGGTGGTGATCATTGGAACAATTTGCCAGTGGCTATTATTTTCAATAATCAGTCACATAAAAGTCAATGTCAGTTATGTTGTGCTAAAAAAAGACCTTAGTTCAAACTGCAGCTACCACCGGGCAGCCCTGTTGCCTGAGTTAAAGTAGGAGCTTGGTGGTGCCTTCTGGCCCCCCGGTTCAGGAATCCATAAGCATTCTTTTTGCCTTTCCTGATTTTGTATGCTCCTTGCTGCATGCTTCATTAACATAGTTTTCACAGAAATTTCAGGGTTTGTTTTTTTTTTTTTTTAAGGCTGTTCCAGTATGTGAAATTGTTTCTAGGCTCATGAAACTCTTCATTCAACAGAAAAGAAAATGTTGCTTATGATTGCTGCTTCCAATCTTACTATGAATGATAAGGCAATATTACGGGGCTATAATGTGAACATAACATTTCTACCTGCACACATACATCATCAGATCTGATTGTAACACATCCATTATTTTTCCACCAGTGCTGAGACCGAAGTTTCTGAAATGACTAAAAACAACTACCATGGAAAATTTTGTGTACTTGTTCTTTTCACCAGAGGTAAAAGTAGTAGGATTTAGGTTCAGTAAGAATACCAAACATAACAATTTCATCCCACAAAAGGATGAACATTCAAAATTAATAAAGCAAATAGTATGAATATAAAATCATATGACAGTATATTCTTCCATATTTCATGTTCTTTAATGTTCTTTCCTATTCAGTTCAAAGCAGTTTTCTTTTTATTCTTAAATCCACTCTACTCAGATGACATCACCCAGGAACAATAAGATGGCACAGTGTTCAAATACAACATCCTGGTGTGGCAGGAATTATGCCGCCACCACCTAGACCATGGCAGGAGTTATGCAGATGCCATCTCAACAGGGCTCGGCCCTAAGTTCCTGCTTGAAGAAGATGAGTCTCCAAGCCACGGAGAAAATAAATGGTTTATTTACCTGACATGCAAAGCAGCTCGAGCTGGGTGCCTACCCCAGATCACACTCCCCAATTATACCTGTATCACCCAGAACTCAATCCCAAGGTCCAATCACTTAATTCTGGTTGGTGGTTTTTGTGGTTTAACCCCAGACGGTAACTAAGCATGACACAGCCGCTTGCTCAGTCCCCCACGGTGGGATGGGGGGGAGAATCAGAAGAGTAAAAGTGAGAAAACTCGTGGGTTCAGATAAAGACAATTTAAGAGGTAAAGCAAAAGTCATGCATGCAAGCAAAGCAAACCAAGGAATTCATTCACTACTTCCCATCGGCAGGCAGGTGTTCAGCCATCCTCAGGAAAGCAGGGCTCCATCATGCACAATGGTTACTTGGGAAGACAAACGCCATCACTCCCAACATCCCCCCCTTCCTTCTTCTTCCCCCAGTTTATATACTGAGCATGATGTCATACGGTATGGCATAGCCCTTTGGCCAGTCTGGGTCAGCTGTCCTGGCTGTGCCCCCTCCCAGCTTCTTGTGCACCGGGCAGAGCATGGGAAGCTGAAAAGTCCTTGACCAGTGTAAGCACTACTTAGCAACAACTAAAATATCAGTGTGTTATCAACATTATTCTCACACTAAATCCAAAACGCAGCACTATACCAGCTACTAGGAAGAAAATTAAGTCGATTTTTTTCTTGGTCGCTGGGCTGGCCGCCTTCTGAAGTTTTCTCATTCTCTTTGAATTGGTTCCTTGGTCCTTATCTTCTTCATTCTGCTTGCATCTGTCATTTTCAGCTAGTTCTGTGTTTGCAACGTTAGTTTTATCAAAAAGTTTACTCTCAGTCAGCTGTTGCAGCCTAAGACTTCAACAACTTTAACTTCTAGTGCTAAGCAAGGCTACTAATCCTGACTTCTTAACGCTGGGAAGTGCTAGAATACATAATCTTTAAACAGGCCCTTTGTGCTGTATTTTTATCTACCCTCCATGTCTATCTTCAAAATACCTCTTTACTCATAGCAACTGAAATATAGGTATATTTATTTTTGGTTACACAAACATTTTTGTCAAAATACTTTTTTTTATATCGGCAACCTTTTGTATATCAAATTATCAGAGTTACATTTCAGTTTACTTCTGTAGTGAATAACCAGCTATAAGGAACACTGAAGAACAATCCAAACAGTTACAAAAAATTCCTCTATCTTATTTTTAATAGAATAATAAAGTTAGTAGCATTCTTAGAAAGACTTATATCTTCTCTAGATCAGCATACCTACAGTAAAATTTATATATATTAATCATCATGGTTAAAAAAAATGTGCTTTTATTTCTGCAAAAGTGAAATACACCAGCTGGGTAAACAAATAACTGCATTCTGTAGTTAACTGACCGGACAGCGAATCAGAAACAAGAAATAGGTGCCATATAACTGATCCAAAACCTGAACAAATCGCATACTGGCTACAGCAATTTTATACTACTTCCCGCTCTTTTTTCTAAATCAGTATCTGCTCACCTACTTATGAAATCCAATTATTTTTCCTAACGGCCAGAGATAATAGTTACTCAACACAAAGGGCAAATTATTGCTATGTTAGTTTCCCAGAGACTTTTGTTTCCAGTTTTAATGATAAAGAATATATTTCAAAATAATCAGCATTGAGGGAGAAAGTATTAACTGCAGCTAGAGAGAAAGATTTGGTCTTATATACCCCTTGATGTAATGCTGTTGGCCAGTAATGAAAATGTGCCTGGTTCAGACTGTAAAGGGAAAAAATGAGTCTTTGAGCTCCAAAAACCTGATCTTGGGGTTGTGCTGTATCAGAGGGCAGCCCAGCTTGAGACATGACACAAATCTCACTGGAGAAGTGGGCTGCAAGTAGAGGGGAATGCAGCTGGGAACACCCCTTCTCCCTTCCCAGCTCACATACCTACAAGGAAGGAAGCAGGGTAGCAAACACTACACATCAAGGCTATCCCGCCAGATCTCCAGCCGACCCGGGCTTTATCCCCCCAGCAGTGGGCGTGTCATGTTATAAGGGGCGGAGACAAGGGAGGGTCGACCCTTAACTCTTTCCTTACAGCATATGATCTTCCGGTCGCCAGCCCTTATCTTTACTACAAAGAAGCATTACAATGAGCAAGGGAAGCTCTTTCCTCAGGGACTGGGGTCACAGAACCAGAGGCCTATGCAGATAGATAGAAAAGGGTTTTTAGGTTTTGGTTTGGGTTTCTTTGGTGGCTGCAAAGAGCTAAATCATCTGACAGCCTGTCCTGATGGAGAGGTTGTTCCAAAAGCATTCCTTGCCAAAAATTATACTAAGTATTAATCACAAAGGTTCTTCCATTCATTTTTTTAACACAGAAAAGCTCAGGAAGCAATTCTGGATGTACTTGCATTTTAAAATTAGAAAATAAGTAGATTGTGTGTGAAAGGATTATCGGGACAGCTTGGAATTTTCATCACCAGTAAAATCCATAATCTTTTTGTGGTTGTAGTCCTACTTGCATTGAATGTAAATTTTGTACTAGAAAGGGTCACAGGAAAATGGAAGAAATAATTCCCAAAATAAGAAGAGGGCACACATGGAGAGTTACAGCTGAAATTTGGACTTGAGAGAGAGTAAAGGATCT